CGAATGGCATGAATATCTCATTTATTATTATTTTTTTCTTGTGGATATTGGAGCCCCATGTGTCGGGTTATGCACATTCTTTCTATTTCACAAGTCTTGGAGCCCCCAATTTGGGGTAGTTCTAATGACTTGCTATCATTTAGGCCATTCATATGGTACTGAGATGGACCTATGTATATGTCCTATTTTGTTTTGAGATATTTAGGACAATGACATGGCTTTCACATTTTAGTTAAAGTCATGTTCAAGAAAGCAAGTTAGTTCTTTGCTTGTTTATAAACCAAAACAATTGTGTTTAAGGTTTAGTATATCATACCTAATGTAAAAACGTTTGTAAAGATCATTGTGGTGATTTTATTCTCAAAGTTGATTTAGAAAATCAAATATTTTCTTTGTTCTTATCAATCTTTGATTTTGGTCTAGTAGGTGGTTTGTTTACCATCCCTTAGCCAATATTCGCAGGAGAACTAAGCGAGAACAAGTTCGAGTCAATAAGAAGTCGAATCTTGATTCATTCCTTTTGGAAATATTTATGTATATACATGTATCATCCAAACGGTTATTGAGAATCTGAAAATTTATTTATTTGAGAAAACAAAAATTTAGAAACGAAATTTTGAATACTATTTTTATTATAAACATGTTGTTTTGAACTAGAATTCAAAATTTGAAAAGGGATCCAATTATATTATTTTCAAAACTGGACCAAAAATGGAAAGAAAAGTCTAGCTCCTAATTGAGTGTGACTTTTTTGTCCAAGATTAATAAAGATAAGTTGTAATTTGCAACTCATTTCAACAAAGATATGAAAATGTGAGCAAACTTTCGTATATCTGATTTTGTTTATGTTTTTCTGCTTGTCATATTTTTCTAATTAAAAGTGAAGTTCTTTCAATTAAATAAGTACTGTAGTTTGAAAATGAATGTTTATCAAACTTAGGTTTGGTGAAGTGTTAGAATAATTTAAAAATCATTCGAATCACTTTCTAAAATATGGTCTCATTTTAAAATTAAAGTTAAGGTGATACATACCTAAGTTTTTAATTTGAAGCCCCCAAGTGTAGGTGGCTTTTAGAATTCTTGTATGCATATGCTAGGAGATATTTCCCATTTTGTATTTTTGATTTGCGGAATATTGCATATGTTTATCATGAATTGTTTGATCAAGTATCATAATTAATTATCTTGGTCAAATAATAGGAAGTGGTATCTTCCCTTTGTCATTTAAAGTTATTAAGATGGTTCGTAATAAGCTTTGCATGACATTGATTTCGCAGCAAACACAAATCTGTAAATAGAGAGAAGTGGGGATGTCCTGGATTTTTAGCCCTCAGTTTAATGCAAAGAGCAAAAAAATTATATTATTTTTTGAGTATTTTAGTTGCCAAATGGGAGGGATCATCCAGACTTACACCCTAAAAAAAAATGAACAAAAAAGACGGATTTGTAAAAAAAAGGAAGGGGAATCCAACTTTCCAATAAAAGAACAAAGAAAGAAAATTAGACATGTTTTCAAAAAGCAAGGATTATTGACTTAATATTTGAATTATCGTGATGACTTGGCAGTGAGGTATACGTGTGATAGCGATAATGATCATTTTCTTTTTCATGTAGCGATCATGTTCAATCAATATTCCTCGCTTAGAGAAGATGGAGATATCCCACGTAGGCGGACATTTTAGTTGCTCATGAAAAGTTAAAAGACCAATTCTAAAGAGTTGTAAAAGACATCTAAAATTGACGTCGAGACTGTCGATATATCAAATTGGCAAAAATTTTGGAAAACATCGAATTAAATTTGTTTCGATTGCTTTACGAAAATGGTGTTATCAAGCCAATGGCTATCAAATCATCCAAATCATTTAATTTTTTTATATGATTTTGTAATCATATCTCAACACTTTATACATTTTATATATGGGCATGACTACTCAATAGTAGGTCCATGTGTGCAAAGGCCTAAGATTGGCCATATTTTCATGGAATGATGATTTTGGTAAATGGTTATGGTCTACTTCAAGGAGGGACTTTCCAAGGTTGTAACATGGCTAGGCTTGAGGTTACGAAGAATTGATAGGCTCAAGTATACTCCCATAATCCCTTACTCTTGGTGCTTATTAAATTAAAACCTTTCTGTTTTTGGTTTAGAACGATTTCTTTCTTTCTTTTGCATTAGATCTTTCCTTTTGGGTTTAGACTAACTTTGTGTCCCCCTCTTATGTTTCGTTCCCCCAATTTCCTATTTGTATCTTTGCACCATTCCCATCCCAAGGTATGGAATAATGTAAGTTGAATAACTAAGACTCAATTGACGAGGCTCAAAAGGGCTGCCAAAAAGATGGATTTTCTCTAAGGTTAAGAACATGGGATTATATTTATGGAGTTTCAAGTTGCCTCCTGTGTTGGTGAAATCATCATATCCTTTCTTTTTGGGCCTAAGATAGGCCTCTCTTCATTCAATACATCTTGTAAGCCAAAGCTCATCAAGATTCTTAAAGTGTTGAGTATGTATACCTTTTGATATTTCCTGTTTGTATGTATACGTTTTGTATAATTCAAGCCAATAACAATAAAGAGATTGAAAAGAGAACCAGATAGACATACTTGAAAATATATCTTTTATTCATTACCTAATGAGAGTACAAAATAAGTAGATTCGATAGTATGAATCTCTTAGTCCACTACAAGAAAAAGTCAATTTAGCGACTAATATTTGCAACTACTCTTATATTCAGTTGCAAAAAATATTTTTGCGACTGAAAAAGACGGGTAGTTGCAAATTTTGCGACTGATTTTGCAATAGTTGCTATGTGGTCGCTACTTTGCGACTGATATTTGCAACTACCATAATATTCAGTCACAAAAAATATTTTTGAGGCTGAAAAAGACCGGTAGTCACATATATTGCGACTAATTTTGAAGCAGATGCTAAGTAGTAGCTAATTTGCGACTGATATTTGCGACCACCTTAATAACCCGTCACAAAAAATGAGACTGGACTATTCTGTCATAAATCTTGTTACCAGTTTGATATTCATCATTTTCAAAAATTAGTTGTTATTTGAACTTTTTCTACATTCCATTTAGCATTAAAATGATGATAAACGCTTGTAGCATTGTAAGGCAAAGGTAAATCGATTATTTACTACTTGAATATTGTACATAAGTATCTGTTATTATCAATAAACATAGGTAATAAAATGTTGATAATAAGAAGGCAAAAGCTAACAAAAATCCCGGGAGCGTTGGATTAGCTAGCTAAAAGTAGAAAGATTAACTTAAAATGAACATTAATTACACCGATCAACCCGCGATTTTGTCATGCGATCCCAAGTTAATACCACTTTGAGTAATATTTTAAAGAAAAATTAGAAAAAATAATACCAACTTTCATCAATTTTGATACAATAATCCCAACTTTGGATTATTCTGGAATAATCCGAACTTTAGGGGGTCTTCTTTTTCTTCAATCCCAAACCGGTCAACAAAAGTCAAAAACCTTTAATAAGAGATCACCATGACATGTGTCATCTTGTCATTGGTCCAAAAATAAATTAACTTAAAAAATAAATTAAAAATCAGAAACAAAAAAAAAAGAAAAAAAAAAACTTAATTCCCCCAAAACCACCAGCCCCCCACCCAAACCACCCCATCCACCGACCCTCCCCCACCCCTTCCACCAGACCCCACCCGAAAACACCCCCCACGTAGTCGGAAAACTGCCCCCACCCCCCGACCACCACTCCCCACCTGCTGAAACACCTCCCCCTCCCTTCCCTCACCCACGAAACCCTCCCCCCTCCCTTCCCCCATCACGTAAAAACCCCTGAAACCGACCCAAACCACCATCCTCGTCGCAACACCCAAAACCCCTCCCTCCCTCAAAACCTCCCTCCCCACCTGCCAGACCCCAAACCCCCTTCCTCTGTACCCACGAACACAATTCGCCCCTTCCCATACCATTTCCGCCCCTTTCCCCTACTTCACCATCATACTCCAAAATTGAAACCCTAATAATGGTTTTAAGGTTTTGATTATGGGTAGGTTTCTATTATGGGTCTTAATAAGGTTTTAGCATGCTAGTTCAGGGAGAAAGGGGGCGGAAATGGTTGGGGGAGTGAGAAATAAGTTCATCGGCATAGAGGGGATAGTGGTTTGGGTCGGTTTCAGGGGTTTTTACGGGATGGGGGAAGGGAGGGGGGAGGGTTTCGTGGGTGGGGGAAGGGAGGGGGAGGTATTTCGGCAGATGGGGAGTGGTGGTCGGAGGGTGGGGCGGTTTCCGGCTGCGTGGGGGTGTTTTCTGGTGGGGTCTGGTGGAAGAGGTGGGGGAGGGCTGGTGGAAGGGGTGGTTTGGGTGGGAGCTGATGGTTTTGGGGGAATTATGATTTTTTTTTTTTCAAAGGTTTTTTTTTAATTTTTTTTATTTTGGACTAATCATGTACTAATAAGTGGCTTTTAAAAAACATAAAAAAAAAAAAATTAACCTTCTCAACAGGTAACCGGTCATAAGGACTGAAGAAAAAAAAGACCCCCAAAGTTCGGATTATTCCAAAATAATCCAAAGTTGGGATTATTGTACCAAAATTGATGAAATTTGGGATTATTTTTCCTTATTTTTCCTATTTTAAATGCTTATTCAATGCTCCTGCAGCATTCGTTAGCAAGATCCTAATAAAAAGAAATGAAGAACCTATACATGAGATGTCTTAAAGACTTAAACTAATACAAAGTATATGATTAAATTTGACCAAATAAACTAACCCCTTAAGCAATTTTTAGTGGGTTACTAACTTACTACTACTGTATTAGAGCAACTCCAATGGTTGTAGCTAGGGACTTGCTTGCAATATTAAATAATCCCTAGCTATTAGCTTGACCATTGGAGCTACAAAATGCAATTAGCTTGGCTAAGAAAGTTAGCTTTGTCAAGCTAATTTGCTTTGAGAAAAACTCACTAAAAAATTTAAAAAGTAGAATCAATAAAATGAAATATAAAAAGTTAATTAAGGAGGTGAAATTCATTTAAATTATAAGCTAATAGCTAGCCATTGGAGTTCAAAGTAGCTACAATAACAATTAGCTTAAAAGTTTATGTGGCATGCCAAGCTTATTGTCAAATTAGCTTGCCGTTGGAGTTGCTCTTAGTGAATGACAGGATAATACAGGTTATTAGCACACCTCATCAACGCTTCTTCATTTTTCAGGCACCGAGTTCTTGAGTCTAACCCTAGAGTCACTGCTCACAACTGAAAAACCCCCCAATTCTCTATCTTCCTCTCTCATCTGCTCACTTTCTCCATCAATCTGCCTCTGCAACCGTCACCATCGCTCATATCGCCGGATTCCTTGTACACCGACGCCGCGCAAATTCCTCTATATATGTAAGTTCGTTTATTTATTTATATTCATCTATTCCAATTCTAATCTCTAGTGTTTTTTTCTATTTTTATATATTGAGATCAATTTGTTGATTAAATTTGTCCATTTATTGAATTGCTTTGGAGTTTCAATGTCAAAACTTGCGTTTTTAATTAATCGTATATTTCTACATGGTTTTGCTTGATTTTTGTTATATATCTTGTTGGGTTTGATAATTGATAGGAATTTTACTGAAATTCAATTGAAGTGATGGAAGTTTGAAATTATTGGTGAAATTTTGGGGCTTTTTGCGTATTTGTAATTACCATTTCGTTATTAGTGTTGCTGAAAAATGTGTATTTGTAATTACCATTTCATTATTACTATTCGCATGTTCCTCAGAAACAACTAAAGGAAGATGTAATTTGCATTATACTTGGGCTGGAAAACAACGAAGATGTAATTTGTAAAAACTATTTTATGATCTTTGGTTCTTTATTATGGTGTTATCACCTACAAATGAGTATAGCTTCATAATTCTAGTTTATCATTGAAGTGGACAAGTGGTGCCATAGTTTCAGTTTTGATAATTTCATCTTAATTTGTTTAGCTGACACATTTTAAATTTACGCACCATTTCTAATTTGGATTATATACTTGGTTATAAAAAAATCCTTTCTTTAGGATTCAATTACACTCTTAATATTCGTACACTACTTGCCAAATCTTTGATCCTAGGTTAAGCTTGATGCCATTTACTTTCCCAATTCTTACATTTACAAAGAATAAAAGTATGCAATGAAATAAGTTTATTAAATAAATCTAGGTATAATAAAAGTTGTTGATTCCCTTGTTTTTTTTTTGGGTTCTTGTAGTGTCCTTCCAGCAAAATGATGTTGATTGTGGACAAGATGTGATGCAATTCAGGAAAAAAATCAATTCACATAAGCCCCTTAAACTTCTTGAACTTGTAACTTTGTAAGTCTTCACTCTCTAGGTTTATGTGATTATTTGTTTCAACTTCTTGGATTAAGTGAAGCTATGGGTAATTATCCTTTAATTAATTTCAATAATGCTTGGATATTCTAGCTTTTTCCCCTGTCAATTTGTTGGACTTATAATATTATATATGAATTGGATGGCTTTTCTTAAGTCTTGTTCTATTTGTCTCAACTGAATAATTTATTAGATTAAATGATTTTTTATACAATATCATTTCGGCTGCCCTTATGCTGCCATTTGTAAATGCATAATATGTTACCGATATTGCTCTCCTTTTCTAGCTATAGTTTGCTACTGCCACTGCAGTCTGCTGCCTTTTCATTCCTGCTGGATGTTGTTGTCTCTATGTGCATGGCAGCTTAACCGAGATCAATCTAAGTTAACTAATAACTATTAATTGCACAATAAACTCCATGTGTTACATCATGGTATAGATATTCAGATGTTAATCTAAGATTCTCTAGATGTGTTCGAGTAGATTAAGTTAATCTCAGTTAATCACTTATCTCAAACCAGTCCCTGGCTCCCTGCATCTCAATCAGAAAGCTATAGCACAAATGCGAAATTCAAGACATGTGAGGTTAAATTGAAATGTTAGAGGATGGACTAAAAGTGAATCCAAACAGTTCAGACACAAGAGTGGTGTGTGTAAGATGTATGTAAAGTCTAAACACTTTCCCGAATTCCATGGCATCAAGAAAAAATCTAACAAATGGTGCCTTATTTGTAGTGTTTGTTGCTTCTATTGCTTCGTTTTGCTGTTGTACCTATTGCCACGTGATTTTTCATTGCTCCCTGCTATGTACGCATATGTTTCCCCTGCTGCTATCTGTTGTTTGCTTTTGTTGCTGCATATTGTCGTCGTACTAGCTGGCACATGGCAATGCTGACTGGTATTAATAGAGGTTGAAAAACCGCTATTAAAAGCATTTTTAACCGCTATAAAAGGCATATTTTGTCGTAATGGTCATGAAAAGTTAGATTATTAATGGTCCTTAAATTGCTATGAATCTTCCCAAGCTTTCAAGTGGGGTCTTGATGAGTTTAACTTGTCTCCATAATATCTTTTAATTATCTAGATAGCTCTATTATAATCATCTACAATATTATGGTATTCATTCATGTCTTATTGGTTTTTAAACAGGCCTTCTAGTGTATTCTCTTGATAATTATTATCAAGGTACTTATCTGGTTTTCATTCTACCAGACCTGTTGCTACTGCCTTAGTCGCTATTATTAACGTTGAAATTATTGATGATGATGATGTTGTAGATGCTGCTGCTGTTAAATATTCCTATTAATGCTAATATCAACTTTGTACAATTGAAATACTTTCTTTTGGGAAAAAATTGTAATATTTATTACAATAATTATTATTGAAAATATTCAACTTTTTTTTTCAAGGTTTAAATATATGTATGTGCATCTGTTTCAATTTAGAGGGAAAAAAACCCATTTTTTTAATGGGCATATTTGGCAATGTTTCATGTAAGAACTGGTGCACCATGGGCACCAAGCATTTAGGTACCGGTGTCTTTGTGGTTTTTATACTAGAAATAATCTATTGCAAAAATTTAGTAACTAAAATATGTATTAGCAACTGATTGGTTAGTAGCACATAATTGATCTTAGTAGTTGCTAATCAGTCACAAAATTATTGGTCTCCGTAGTCGCTAATCCGCCGAACAATACTGGTCAACGTAGTCTTAAAAATTTGGTCAAAGTAGTCACTAATCTGTTGCTAATATTTTGTGATGGAAAACAGATCAGTTGCTAAAATCTCAAAGTTATCATTAAATGACAATCGCAAATTAGTCGCTAACATTTTGCGACGGGCAATAATTTAGTTCCTAAAATTTTAAAGTTAGTTGCTAAATGACAGTTGCAAAGTTGTTGCTAAATTTGTGACTATACCAAAATTAGTCGCAAAAATGGATTTGCGACGAGGTCTTTAGTGACTAACCAAAGTAGTTGCAAATCCTTCGCAAATCCATTTTTGCGACTAATTTGACCGTCGCAAATTCCCCTTTTTCTTGTAGTGGTCTATTATAAAAAAAAAAAAAACAAAGGAAAGAAACAAAACAAGACCTAGGGTGCTACATCTTGAATTGTTGACAACTTCTTGAGATTGCGTCTTCGAGCTTTGTCCATTTCCGACGTAGGTGAAATCCTCTCTAAAAATCAAGTTCATCTATATGATTCATGGTTTCATTTATCAAGTCCCTTTTAATTAATATTCCCAAAGTATAGACTTTTTGAAATGTGTCTAAACCAAGGTATTGTAAATGACACTTGTATGGTAGAGACATATTGTCTATGAACTTTGGGGCAAGTTCATGATCCGGAGGTCTTTGTGGAATAAGAGCAACATTTGATCGCCACCTAGAAAAGAAGTCAATGAAGCCTTTTTCTTCCCCTTGCTTAAGCAATTCGAGATCGTGCAAGGTAGTTGTGAGCTCGATGTTACCTCCATATTGGGTTAAAAAGGCTTTTACAACGTCACTCCAAGTGGAAGTTTGTTTTGCATCGAGGTTATAAAACCATGATCTAGCAGTTGGGTCCAATGAAAGAGGAAAAGTACATGCATATAGGCTTGGCTCAACCTTTTTCAATGCCATAATTCCAATAAAGCTCATTAAGTGAGTCCTAGGATTGTCTGTAACCTTAAAGATTGGCAAATCCGTAGTCAAGAACTTTTTTGGGAGAGTCTTGCCACTAGGTTGTGGTGCAAACTCATAATTGAAGTACTTATTTCCTGAGTTAGCACGAAGGACAAGTTTCTCCAAGGCCTCTACTCTTTCGGCTCTTGCATTTTCTTGCAGAATATTTTCTTTTTCTTTTTCTGCTTTTATTTTAGCCTTTTCTACTTTTTTTTATGAGCCTTCATTTGGGCTTCTTCTTCTCGTAAGGCCTTTAGGTTTTGGAGTTCATCTCTAAGTTTCTCCAATGCTGCTTTGTCACCCATGATTGGACTAGTATGCGAATGTGGAAGATGATCTAGTAATGTGTATCATGAGAAATTGAGCGCGTTCACTTAAACCTTATTTGCCAAGCATTCAAACAATGAATCAAAGTCAAAATTATTGTTTTATTTCTTTATTTTAATCCTTGTAATACGAATTCACTTTAAGAAAGTTTGTTGATGAAGAATGTCAAAAAATTCACGAACAATCAATAATTGAATGTCATGATTTGCGTTGACTTCAACAAGGTAATCATCTAAGGATTTAACTTTAAATGAATTGTTTTCGAAAAATGTAGAAGAGAAAGTCAAGAAAGTTGGATTGAAAATGCTCATCAAGTTTTAGGAATATTAATTAACCCGAACATAAACCTTAAAATGATCAAATATACTATGGTATTTGTTAATCACTTAGATTGCAATAGAGATCTATATCATTTTTTTTTCAATTATGATTCTCGTATTGCTCATCTTTAAAGGATAATATTATACTATTTGCTTAAAAAGAATGATGGCCTTCGAATGTAAAATCCAAGAAATAATTAAATCATTTTCTTGGTTTTATCATTCATTATCTTCTCTCTTTTTTTTTCTGAGAATAATATTTTTTTTTGTATCATACTCTCTTTTTTTTTTATTATTTTTAAGAACGACATTTCTTTTTTTTTTCGTTCTATTTCTCTCTCTCTCTCTCTCTCTTTTTATTGTGTGAGGCAATCATCCCAAGTAAAGTTCTTGGGATTTTCCTTTTAAACCGTAGAAGAGGTAAATTAATTATACTCTTAAATCAAGGTTGACCAATTACAACTAAAAAATGATGAACACGAAAATAAGGGCGTTTAAGAATAAACATATTGATGACGTCCTATTAAGAGATGCGAACTTCTAATGACGAACCTCATAAGAATTAATGTCATCAGCTTGATTATAAAGTACGTAAACGAATCATCATAATCAAAAATAGTATCCCGTGCAATTTTCCGTCTTGTGCTAAGGTGGAAAGTGCAACTTCAAGAGTAACATCTGCCACATGCGTTTTTTTTGGCGAAAACGCAAAAAGAATGATAAATAAACTTTTTTTTTTGCGACAACGCAAAAAGAACAATAAAAAAAATGTTTTTTGGATTTTTGAAAAAAAAAAAACGAAAAAAGATGATCATAGTAAAAGTTTGACAAAGTTGTTAGCCAAAGAGATATTTTTAGCACCTAATTAACGGTTAACCTTGAAGCGGTAGCATCGTTTTCTCCGTATGATATTGCTCGTAACGAGTCAAAGTCAACGTTGAACAGTGGGCGCGCGCAAGACACAGTGTTGCGCAGAGGTGCTGCGCGGAACTTCAGAACTTGCGCTTGGAGGGCGGGCGCAACTTTGACAGTTGCGCGTGCCACCTGGTAGGTTCGACTTTTCTTTGTTTTTTTTTTTTTTTTTTTTTTGTCGAACCATAATTTTTGCGAATTTTTTTTAATATATCTCTAGGTCACAAGTTGAAATTAGTTAGATTAGACACGAAGCACATATTCATGTAGTCACATAAGCACGTAAAAGGAACCGTCAAAGCATACAATGTCATTCTAAGGTCAAGGCTTGGGTGTCCAAGGGTACCATATCTTAAAAAACGATGCACAAATAAATCACTCAACGTGTTGACTCATGACATCGCCTACTCAACATTTTGTTGACAATATGGGTGGGATGATTGTTATTGATTTCGGGATAGAAGCCTAGTGTTGGCAACCCCTAGTCAATGAGCCAATCCCCAATGGTTAAAGTGTGCTATGCTTATGCATGATGCAATGTTGCTTGTTTGATTTTTACTTTTTGTGAAAAAGGAAGATTTTATGCATTCAAGTCTCGCTCTCTAACTAGAGATTATCCAAGTTAATTCTCGTTACAACCCATAAGCAACCTAGTGTTGGATACCTTGGACCATAACTACGAATTAATCATGTAACCTCTAAGTCCCCAGTGGAGTCGCCACTGTAAGGAGGGTGATCCCATCGTAAGGGGTACTCTCCTTAAATGCCCTTGGCCACTTAAAAGCCTAGGACTTTACACTTGTTAGGGTGTAGTAGGATTTGAATTCCTGACTATTTGGGGGACCTTGAATTAGAATTGATTCTATCATTACGCTTTTTTGTAAGAAATAAGTAGGAGTCGGCAATGAGTTTTGGGGAAAACTCATAAACCTCGTTCATGCCTTTTTTCCATGTGAATTTCATGGAATAATTAGCCGGATCATAAGTTTACCCATGCCCAAATTGGTCTATAAACCACAAATGAGTTCAGGAGCGAGGGTACTAAAATAACGTTCCATTTAGACGCGAATCGTTATCCTAGCCCTAGTACGGCGTCTACTAGCTCTTCCTTTTTTACAATTTCATCACCAAACAATATATGCAACGCGATACCTAAAACTATGTTAATTGATTTTATTTACAAGCATTAATTCAGGTAGGAATTACATTGTAATGTCGTTATTTAATTCAATTCTAATCTTTATTTAACGCAAGATACTATGTGGAATTGATTAATTAATATTTTAAAGGTGATCAAACAACACTAATTAATTAATTAAAGTCCTTTTAAAGAAGAAAATAAAGGTGATTTAACTAAGTGCTCGGGAATTTACAACTTCTCTTTGCTAGATCTTTGTTAAGAACCCTTATGGACTCCTTCTTGTTGGGGAACCTCCACCGTAGTAACAAGATATCGAAAGGGTGAGTGTTTAGGACAAGAGGGCTAGGTTGCACAAGTTCACAAGTATTTCGCCAGAGTTTTAGGTTATTTTCTGTCTGTTTAAGCCTCGGTCTAAGCTTGTATTCATAGGGAATGATTAGGTTTAGGGTTTTGAGCATTCTACCGCAGCAGGTGTCGCGCACAAAAGAGCGCAAAAGAATGAGTTGTGCGCGGCACCCCAACACAAGTGATTGAGTTGCGCTGCTATGTGCAGCACAACTAATTGTCTTGCGCGCGACTTTATGGTAAGATACAATTTTATATTTTCCGTATAATTCTAAATATTCCGCAGTGCAACTTTGGAGGTTGCGCGCAGCAGCCTAGCGCGACTCTTTGAGATGCGCGCGGCTTTTCCAGCGGCATCACTAAGATTTAACCTAGGCGCTCCTAAATCCGTCATTATTAGGGTTTAAGCACGGGATTAAGCCTAATTATGATCAGGTTTAGTTATTTGGACCTTTGTTTTGGCTTTTTTCTTTAATTTGGGCTAGTCTTTTGTGTTTTGTGGCTTAACCAGTTATCCATAAGTATTCTTCACTTTGATCCAACACGAAGATGGTTTTATTTATCGTCATTGCACTTCTTGTCGGGACAAGAGGCCAAAAGTAGATGTCTACACTATCCTATCAGGAGGTGCTGCAAAACTGACTGATATGGACAGCAATGAATTTTCAAACATGACAAATCTTGACCAGCTTAAGAAGTACTACCCATAATTACTTGAGTAGGATACTCAAGAGAGCTATGTTTGGCCTGATATCTTAGGAAAGGATATGTAGGCAACCCTTATAGGGTACGACCACTTTAATTTTTACAAATCTTGCATCCCAGCATCAACAAGTCAACTCAGAACTATTGGCGCGAAAAATTTCAAGACCAATGCATCCCAGAAAATCTGTCGCCTGACAACAGACATCAGCGTCGGTCGACAAATGCAGTGTTTGGCGACAAGGTGTAGCGTTAGGCGGCAAACAGCAACGTCTAGTGACAGACTTTAAACTGCGGCGCCAATTTTTCTACATTAAACTGGGCAAATTTCGGTGTATTTTGGAAATTTTTGACTTCCGTACTCGAATAATTTTAAGAAAAATAATTAAGTGTTTTCATTGCTTTAATGGAAATTAAATGTAAATGTTGATTTTGAAAAGCTGAAAATTGCATTAAATAAAAATGAAGTAAGATTACATTATTTATGGAATTTAAAAAAAGCTTAAAAATAAATTAACTTGATAACTAAAATTGTCTAATAAATCGAAAGTAAGGCAATGTTCTAATTTTCTTCTCTTTCTTTGCCCTCTTCCAATTTTTGTCCGCTTCTTTCTCTTCATCCATCACTTTTTCTAGCAAGCATCCCTTAGAGGATCT